AAGACGTATGAATTATTTATTAATTAATTAAATATAAGTTATTGCTTAATTAGTGTTCCTAAGTTTACACTATAAGTACATCCCAAGATCAATAGATCGTAATTGTTTACATGAAATATTTGACAATTTATAGGAACACTATAGATTAACCAGTTCGACTTCTAAATATTAGTTATTACAATTTCATTCTGCACTTTCGACTTACTTTTTCACAAGAAAATCACCACGATTACAGAGACACCCGGTACAACCATTTTTCATCCTTTAAGAAGAGCAGAAATCTGCCTTAGGTATAATATAAAGAGTTACGTACTTGACGTTCCGCTTTCGCGCTAAACTGTGATAAGGTTAATCGTGAAATATAACTGTTCCTTCAAAGGCAAACGGAACGTATTTCAGTCTCTGAAATCAGATGGTTTCTCTGTTCATAGGGATCACCTAATTCCCCAGGCTTCTCGACTCGTGTTTTGTCGATCTATAATTCAAGGGGCAGCTGTTTGCCTACGCTACAAACGTGACTCAATGCGCATACGGGTCCTTTTGTATGCCCCTTGCGATACCACTTCCATACTACATAATCAAGGAAATTTCGATCCGGTAGATCGAACTCGGCCGGAACGAGTAGGAATAAATTTTACGCGTTTTCTGGTCCTCTCTTCGAGCTCTCCGTGTCTTTGATCGGTTTATCCTCTATAATTGAGCGAGATGAAAGTGGGGAGCCGCTGGTGAAGTTGGTTCCCTCCACAGATTGAACAGAGGTTCCACCTTTAACCCTCTCTACACTGTATGGTGAGGATAATTGCTTTTTACGAGGAACAATTGGACTGCTCTTGAATTTTTTAATTGGGATAAATCGTACCGAGGTTTTGTTTTTTCTTCGGTTGAAGGGGTTAAATTATCGTGACCAACAGTGTTAAGAAAGAATTCTGCGTGGATGTTAATTATTTGTCACGTTTTCAATTTTTCACTCTAACTATCTGTAATTTAATTTTACATACATATGCTTAAAGAAAATTAAAAAGGTATTCTGCATACATAGATACTAGCCAATTCTGATAAAAATTTTATTTTTCTTAATCCTGAATTAACGTGGTATAGTGATCATTTTCGTCATTTTTACAATTGCAAATCATCATCAATTTTAAATTCTCTTTATCTCGTTTGTGTGCCTTGAAACAATGTATACAGAAAATAAGAATTCTAAATTTTCCAATAACGTATATAGTTGTAATATTGTTACTTTTCAAAAATCGGAGGAAAAAGCTTAAAGTTACATTTGCGTCCTCTGAAAAAATTGAAACTTTTCATTTAGTAGTTACCTATGAAAAAAATTCCCAAACTTTTCAGGGTAGTGTCCCCCTTAACCCTTGTACGAAAAATCATGTCATAAATTGTTTTTCCTCTGTTATTAAATGTATCATTTCGACTGAAATTTTGTCATATCCTTAAATATCTAATAAACATTAATAATCTTCAGAAAAAAGAACGAAATTTGTACAGTATTTTTAATGGAAACCAATTATATTTTTCATACACAGTTATGGAATTTATGGGTCAATTTGATCCAATATATGAGCCACTCAGAAGCCAAAGTGACTAACTTCGTTAAATTAAATTTATTACATTTTGTCTATTTATGAAGAGTTAAACAGAAAATTTGCGATTTGATACTAAAATTGGAAGAATTCCAAAAAGTGGAGTTAATCATTTTGGCTTCTGAGTGGCTCACATATAGTAAGCGATTTTAGTGATCTTTTGTTATGCTTCTTCTGTTACATATTCTTCTGCCACGAACGCTATATGCTCTTTCATTTTTCGTAATATAACCATCACAAGTTCAGTTCGAGTCTTCTAAGGATTGGTGCAGTACGTTATTCTTTACACTCGAAACAGCTTCCAAATATAATTTGATTTTCTACGATGCCGTGCCAACAAACAGTATATATTACCAACATCTATTTTCATTTCTAGTAGTACTTGTAATTCGATAAATAACAAAATTTATAGTATAGTGAAGATATTTTTAGAAGCAGATTATACAGGGTGTCACCGATCTGGTGATAAAGCCCCGAAAGGAGGTGAATCTACGTGAAAAAATAAGTCGAAAAAAAAAAGAATAATGTTTTTTCATTTAAGGTTTCGTTTTCCAGAAAAATGAGTTTGAAAATCCGTCAGGTACACATGCACTAATTGTAAAGGGCCTAGCTGAATAAGCATGGTAAAAGTGCCCCTAAACCAAATGAAACGTGTGATACGTCAATTGAAAGATCTTCCTAGGAAAGCCATTTCGACAAAATTTCAGCCCTCTACCCCTATTATTGGGGTAGTTATCGATCTAAACATCAATTTCATTTCGTACTTAATTTCTTTTGTCCTATCCGACAAAAAGTTATGAAAAAAAAATCTGAGATACTATAACCAGAGTGTTGCATATCTCGGAATTTTTTCAGATTTTTTGGAAGCCAGCGTCATAGTTAAAATAATTAAAAACCACTATTTTTTACCGTTCCGTAAGAGTGGCCTCAAGTGACAGCAAAAGGTGTTCAATTTAAAAAAAAAAAAAAATGATTACATTCCTTGAAATTCTACCTACAATATGAGCCGTTTTGCACATCTTTTTAATTACAACCTGATTTATATTATAGGTGTCAGTTTCTTTGCTCGTTGATTATTTGTGAGTAAAGTGGCATTGCTTAATAAACTCTCCATCCTGAAAAGGTATCCGACTTGGTATTCATAAACATGGACATACCTTAATCGGAAGTACGTGGACACGATCCGTATTTTAGAAGAATGTCGCGGTGACGCGTGTCGTAATAACAAGGAGCAAATCGTGACATTGTGCATGTTTAATAATACAAACACGAGCGGAAACAGAAGTTTCGTACCTCGAAACTTGCAGTTAATACACGGGTACGTGACGGATTTTCAAACTGATCTTTTTTTTTTCGAAAACGGAGCCTTAACCCTTATGTCAATAATCGGGTACTCGGGTACCCTTTTGCACATTCTCACTCAAAATATTTTATCTTCCCGGTAAAAGATTTGAATATCCGGCCAGATCGTTGTTACTTCGCACATTTCCTATCCCTGTTTGCTTCAAGTTTAAAATTTTGTTATTAGAAAACGACAATTGTGGTTATTGACATAAAGGTTAAATGAAAAAATGTTATTCTTTCTTTTCGACTTATTTTCGCATGTAGAATCACCTCCTCACGTTTTGTACCACCAGATCGGTGGAAGTAGATACAGAAAGCTCAGACTCGGAAGAAACTTTAAACAGCCTGCCTTTAGACCATGCGGCTCTTAAATGTTTAATAAAAATCTGCTGTTGCCGCCACAGAACCGACAGTTACCCCCCAAAAAATAACTATAATGCGTCGGTAAAGTAAAAGTTTCGACGCGATTCTTAAATTAAAAATTTAAACTTAAATTAAAATTGAGACTCCCTAAATTTTATTTTTTGTACGTTATTTTGTTGAAATGGCTCTTCGGCTCTGAAAGGTTCCCGACCCCTGCTTTAGACAAACGCATAGGAATTGAACGTAACAATTCCAGATACTGTAAATCAAGAGACAACCCTATATTATAGCTTGTTCGTGCAATACCTCGAAATGGCCGAACGTGAAAAGGAAAGATTTTATCGCCTGCTTCAGAACCGGCAAGCCAAGCGACAATATTTCACGTAATTTCACTAAAATATTAAAATTGTATTATCATTGCAACTGAGTTTAATATTTTTATTTTCATTTCTTGTAAATATACGATATTGGGCTAATTCGACCCAAAATTGACTTGTTCGTGCAACTTTACAAACTCCGTACAAGGGTTAAGAAAGGCTGAAAGGATTAAGCAATGGTAATAAATATTTTAAACGAAGATTTCCATAATACTCTATGCTGTTCCGTTGATCAGGAGTATCGAAGAAAAAACAAAGGCTAATCACCTCGAATATAGGCGGAACAAACTCCTGTAACCCGTTGTTCGCTGCTGGTCCAGAAAATGCGCTTAGAAGGGTCACATTATGTCCTCGAGCCTTTAGGCTGCTTCCCAATGCGACGAATGGTACCGTGTGCGATTTCGTACCTCCCATTGTAGCCAGCAAGACATTGTAACCCATCGTGTAATCACAGATCCAAGAAATAGTCAATAATACAATTGTCCGATCCATTACACTTTGATTTGTCATCTTTACGTTTTCTACAATATTATAATAATTTCTCGTATCGGTTTAATATTTGGTACTTAGGCTCAGGTACTGAATTTCTATCTAACGACAGACGCGGCACTCGAATTATAAAATTCGTAAATATCGCAAGAGATGACGTTTTTTAGAATCTTCGATTTTTCATTGAAACATTTACAATTTTCTTCCGTTTTAGAGGTTTCTCAACAATAGATCTGTCTTATTTTACGTTTATTTTATTCGTTACACATTTTATTATATATTTACTTTTTTCTTTTACCATTTATTTGTCGTATATTTGATATGTATATGTTATACTTGAAATTTTCACCATAAAGGAACACCACAGCCTAACTCCACTGATCCGAACACAAGTCTGCTTTTCGTCTGCGGAACCGCGGCTATATGCACAGCACCGTCAAAGCGCGGCGACACTTATAACAACCTGATCCATTATCATTGAAATGATCAGTTTCCGAAAAGAGTGAAAAAAAGAGCCATCTGTCGTGTGTTCCGTGGGTACTTTGCCTTCGACGAGACGCAAGATGATTCTTCTTGGGACGCAGACGTCCATGGAACCTCGAGCCAGCTATTCCCTTGTCATTTTTTCACGAGACCACCGAGCATGACCGATCACGTTCGTTTCCGTGATTCTTTATTCCGGTTGGAAGCCCTGAAACCACACGGGATAGAGAATGATTTATTTAACCGCGCCGCTGCTTTAAAGAAACAGGCGATTTCCCTTTTTCTTTCCACCGACGGGTTTTGTGTTCCTTTTTTTTTCTTTTAATTTTATTCCGTTCCGAATCGACTTCTGTTTATTTGATCTCGTGTTTCGCTATTTTGCGCCGTGTTTGCGGTATTTCGCACGTTCGACCGCGCCCCTCTTCCGCTTTCGATATTTTCAATATTTGCGCGGGCAAATATCGAGGGCGAAAAATTGCGATATACAGAGGGTAGAGGTTAATTGTAGTTCAGTTGGTTTTTTTCTTCTCAGTTGTTGCCGCAGCGTTTAATTAATCGGCTAATCCGACCCCACTTGCTTTGTAAGGCCGTCTTACGGAGATTATTATTATAATTCCGGTGAAATTTCATTTTCAACCTACTTGTAATTGTAGTTTAGAGATACGGGACTTACAGTCGTGGACAGAAATATGTGGACACTTTTCGAAATAGAGTAACTTTTTTCAAATTGGGCCAAACGACCTGAGTTTTTTTGAGAAGTTAGAAGGATTAGTTTACTAGATGACGTGTGGAAAAATTTGGAAAACATTGCAATTTGTGGGAATCGCGAAGAAAATTGTAGAGGTCACTGTTTACAATTTGTTTATCTGCGCTTGTAATGAAAATTTAAAACATACGTTTTCTAGATCTATGTCAATTATACGCGTGCTGAAAATTTCATTGAAATCGTAAAACAGGCCACCTTGTAATTATCTTCTCTTTTAACTATGGTGGTACGAGGACATTTTTGCACGTAATTTAAATGACGAACGAAGAAGAATTTTCTTCTTAATGCCATTTTTCACTGTTTCTTTCAAGGTAACCTATATTTTTTTCTACTGTTTGTTACAGCAGATATTGATGTGCATTTAAACATGTACTGGTTTTGCACTCGAAATTCAACTTTTTGCAAATCAAATTCACCCTTTTGCAAATCAAGTTTTTCTACAAAATGTTTTTCTTAAGCTTTTTTAATAAAAATCAAATCAAATGTAAATTTATTATTAAGAAATTCAAAATTTTGTTATATATAATACAAAGATGTACATGAAATACTTATTTAACAATAATTACCAATTCATCACATATGGAATTCCTAATTATACGTCTTAATCGAATAAAAATAAATCGAAAATTGAAAACAGTGTTTTAGTTAAGCTTTAAAAATGTGTTGCAATACTAATCATTATACAGGGTGTCCCGTAACTCCTCGAACACCCGGAAATGGGGAGTTGCTGAGGTGACTCTGAACAACTTTCTCCTTTTCCAAAATCCAGTTTGAAGCTTCGTTTTCGAGTTATTAACGATAAACACTGGCCAATTACAGCGCGCGTAGAGCCCGCGGTCAGGGGCGAAGAACAGAGGCTATTTTCAGACCTTCGCTATTTTCTTCACGATTCCGACTAATTAACGCGTACGCATTTGTTCAATCGCGCGCGGGTGAGCCTCTGTTCTTCGTCCCTGAGTGCGAGCTCTACGCGCGCTCTGATTGGCCAGTGTTTTTCGTTAATAACTCGAAAACGAAGCTTCAAACAACATTGTGGTAAAGGAAAAAGTTGTTCAGAGTTATCCCAGCAATCCCCCATTTCCGGGCGTTCGAAGAGTTACGGGACACCCTGTATGTATATGTAAACTCAACATTACATCTTTCTCTTGTGCAGTAAAGTAAAATCGGAGCAATTCTATTTTTCACTAAATGGGTAGTTTATAATTTACGAGAAAGAGTAATTTCCTTTAAATTGTGATTTGAGGTTGGAACAAAATATAAACAGAAGGGTGAATTTGATTTGCAAAGAGTTGAATTTCGAGTGCAGAACCTGTATAATAATATAATCTTAAAATGATCTTGGTCTCCAAAATTTTGAATCAAATGTGAAACTTACTTTTCAAATTTTTACTATTTCTTCCTTCGAAAAAATTGTTCTTCCATCTTGTTCACCCTTTGAAATCATTTAAATCAAGTGTAAAAATTTTCTCGAATTGTATATATCGTATGACATTTGAACGTGTTTCACGTGATGCTTCGTAATAGATATTTTATTGTTCTCCGATGGTAGATATTCATTAAACAAAAATCGTAAAACTATTATAATACATACAGGGTGTCCCACTTAATTCGAGCGTCTTAAATATCTCGCTTATATTTTACGATAGGAAGAAATGTTAGAGGAAAACAATATTTGCTTCGAAGGGGCAAATACGAAAAACTTTTTCTCAAGGCCATTTTCTCCAAATTTCAAGGACATCGGAGTTTTTTTTTTTAACGGGACTACATATTCTCACCATCGCGGCATGATTGCCGGGTGGAAGATAGCTGGTGTTTTTCAAAAGTTAAGAGTGGTAGGAGTATATTTTGAAAGAGAAGGTTTCATTACAAATATTCACGATAATACGAAAACTGACAATTTTTTCGAGGAGAGCTTTCCACCCCTAAGATCGTTTCATTGCCGAAACAAAAAGTTGTTTCGTTATTAGAGTCAATGGAACTTTATTTCTGCAAAGTTAAAAATTCTTTCGAACCGGAAAGTTCGTGTCGATTTTCGATAGGTAGTGTTTGAATACGTTAAAACGAATAAAGTTCGATGAAAACATACGAAGTTCGTATATCTTCTGAAAGATTATTTCTTCACGTGACTTTTGAAAGTCTATTCGTTACAATTACTAGTTTCTTCTCGGAGTTATACTATTTGGAAGACGGAAGAAAATAGAGTACATCTCCGACACTTAACATACTTTGCACTCGAAAGGCGACTGAGAAGCGACATTATTGTTTTCCACTTGGTAAATAAAATCTATTTCTTAGCGGATGTTGAAGCGAGGTTCAAAATGGTAACCATCGGCAACAGTAGACGGCAAATAGACGACTGCTTATTTAGTTCTTTCTATGATATTTTCGCTTATCTACAGAGAACTAAAAGTGACCTTGAAAACTTCGAAAAAAAAAAAAAAACAACTGTGAAGAGCGAAAATGCGTATTTTTCCTTGGGAAAGTCAGTCCCTGAAAAAAATGTCATGAATATTTTAACAAACAAGCTCCGATTTGCTATTATACTTCACTATAGTAAAAAGACTTTCGAGTGCAAAGGGTTAATGTTTTTCTTTCGGCAGAAACGATAAAATGCCACTGAAACAACAAATTTGGTGTTCACGGAGTAGGTAATCTGTGAGAAAGTATTGTTTGCAAACAGTTTGTAAAATTTCGAACTTAATGAAAATACCGAAAACATAGGAAAAGTTGTAGAACAAAAAGGTACACACATATCTTATCCGATAAAGAAATTACAGATTTGAAGAATGGATTTTACTTGTTTACTTAAAAGTCTACTAAAAGATTGTTTCCAGCCAACCCAATAATTTGTCATTTTTTGACACGATCAAATTAACCCTCCGTAGGTAATCTGGATCATTAACGACCCAAGTGAAAGGAGGATGTCAAAAAAAGGCCAATTTTAGCATACGGCCGGAACGAGAAATTTTTTTCCAACATAATTCTACGCATCCTAAGGAACAAAAAATGTAATTGTCATTTTTCCCGGAAATGATCGGAATGTTATGAAAAATGCGGTTCAAGGTAAGAGTATGACCATACTTATAACTTATAACATACACTACCGGCCAAAAATTTGGAATCACCTCCCATTTTTCATCAGTACTGAATCTGCTACTAACTTTTCATAGACTTGACATTGATATTGTGGAGATAAATAGCAATTTATCTCATACCGATTGATTTGAATGATACTGTAAACGCTCGTGGTCGGATCTCAATGAGATACCTATCGAGCCTTGTAGAGATTGCACGTGATGTGCCGACTAGAGTTCAATATGTATGTCTCGAAGGACCACTCTTACAAATATAAGAGACTATGTAAATTATATTATTCTTAGCAATGGTGTTCTCTTTACTATTGACTATTCTTAACTATCCCTAAGACACGTTTACGCGTGTTTTTAAAGCATCGGTGATGGCACTGATTGGCTGACAGGGGAAGGGAAGTGGAAAACGGGGTGACAAAAATGCGAATATTCAATTGGTGGATGGAATTTGTGGAAAGGTAGCGGGAAGGATTCGGAGCGGGGGTGATGAGCGACTTCTCACCCCTACGGGGAAAGGCCCAAGGTGACGTCAGCGCGGTACCGTTGATCGGGTCACCGTGGCCGTCCGACTCTTGGGTTCCCTAAAGTTTATGACACGGTAATTGCTATTGAGAGATAGAAAATTAATTTAGCTAATGCTAAGGTCACGTACCACCTATTCAGGTACGGGTAAAACTTTGCCT